AAACTTCAATAGGCCACAGCTACCAAGTGGCACAGTACAGAAAGACTCCAGTAGGAGGCACACTTACCCACACAGCCCACACCGGTGGGGTTGAGCTCAAAATCTGGAGGACAGTTACACAGATAGCTGCCCGGTGTGTTCACACACAGTCCGTTTATGCAGTTGACTGGATCAGCACACTCATTTACATCTGAAATGCAGCAGACAAGGGGATGTAGGAGAGAAAGCAGGTGAGATGAGTGACTATTGAGTTGTTATGGTGGACATTCCTATTTTTGATGGGAATGGGGTAACCTATAACACAGTGGGTAAAACTATCAAGATGCATACTTTGTTGTTTGGTTTTGTCAAAACAATTACAATCAATTCCTTCGCGATGGTGCTGCAACTCATTAAAACCTGGAGAATTCCACCCCGTCTTTGACATGAGCACCTTAATCTTCTGAACAGCTGTTATATTTTTATCCATTTAAACCCAATCCCCACTATAGAACGAGACGCTTCTTTCTGAGATACACAATGCACATCACAAAACATAAAAGAGAAAGAATGAAGAGAAGGCATGCAGAGAAACACACTGGTGCAACAAACATATTAATCCAATATTGCTCACAAGAGCTATAGCAGGTTTAGTAGCTAAAGCTATGGTATAATCCTTCTGAGATCAGCCAGCAATGGGGTCAAGCACAAGATGAAAATGGACTACAACGTTCAAAGCACCCAATAGCACACTAAATAATGCTGATCATAACTTTAAAGGCAAATTGCATTGTTTCACAAAGGAATGCAAGATATAATGTGGACATTATTACAACTCACTGTCTCAGGTATGCTGGAGGTAATACTAAGGATACCAGTCATCCTCGTTTCTCACTTTTCTCTCCCCTTTCATTGCACTTGTGCATTTGACAAATAAACTGAACTTAAATTTAAACCTTCCCCTTAAGTACTCCCCTTTAGTTTACAGGAGATGCAAACAGGTACCTGGAGCTCAGAAGTCAAACGTTTAATACGGAATGTGTTCAGTACGTGAGGTGTTTGCTGGCTGTATTGCCTTGCCTTCCTTCAGGTGGCTGAAAGTCAGGGACTCACAGAACCCATCATCAGGCCACTCACCTGTACAGTTGCCCCCGCTGCGGTCAAGCTCATAACCATCATCACACACACAGCGGAACATGCCCGGCAAGTTCTGACAGGTGCCAAACACGCAGATGTTCTGGAAGTTACATTCATCAATGTCTGGAAGGGGAAGAGAGAGACATTTTCAGAACGGATGGCACCGGCCAACCCTTCTTCGGACAGGAAAGATAGATCAGATGTTTAAAAACCTGTTTTCCCAAAAAAAAAGAAAACCACTTACCTTGTAAAACGTCAAGAAGTAACAAGCCGTTGCACGGAAAATGAAAAGAGCCATTCATCAAATCAAGGGTGAAAAATGTACAACCTTTTAAAAAGACTTAGCTGTTTTAATTCCCTGAATTTATCTTACATTGCTCATCTAAATTAATCATACACTGTAGCATCCATAACTGTCATGAAAGACATAACTGCCAAGACTAATGCCCTTAAAAAATTGTAAATGATTCAGACTGAGCATTAATCTGGGTGGTAAAAGTTTGTTATTTCTATCACAAGATGAAGGAGATCTGTGTCTACAGATAAGTAGTGGCTTCAGATGTACTATAATTACTTAAGCTGTAAAACTGATTTGCTGTACTGACCTGCATGTTAGGTGAAATACTAATACTATACATGGAAACTTTTACTCCCACGACACACACCGTATACTGTACAATATGCACACAGAATTTGCATACCTTGTAAAAAAAAGGGTAAAGTCCAGACCAGAGATACAGTACAGCAAATCACTGGGCCAGAGTTCACCGTGTTTTCTGTACTGTTAGGTAGACTTGAGAACACCCCCCAGGATGGGTCACCAGTCTGTCGTAGGGATGACTCCCTGGCAGTGCTGGTACCCATTTATATAGCTAAGGAGGCTAGAAAAAATGGGGTGAAGTCCCTCCCTCTAGGTACAACAGCAGTGACTACAAGCAGGGACTCGAATCCACAACCTTTGAAGTAGGAATCCAGAGGCTCACCAACTACACAATGCTGTCCCCATTGCTTAACTTGCATCTATATTTAATCTAATATATTTAATACTAAGAAGGGCCCAGTATTCGTATTACGTGGTTGCAAACAGACTCAGAGTGCTGCTACATAAGGAATTCACGTTACAGGTGACGCAGTCGTACCCTGGCAGGCTTTACTGTCTTCTGTGGGCGTGAAACCCATCTCACACTCGCAGCGATACCCTCCAGGGGCGTTGAGGCACTGCCCATTCTCACACAGGTTGACGTTGTCCGCACACTCGTCCACGTCTGCACAACAAGGAGAGGACAGACAGGCCATCGGTCAGTTCGGACAGAAACATCCCGGTTAACAACACTTCAAATAGACAAACGTTACAAGACGAAGGAGCCTGCTGAAATGAAAATCCGTGGCTGTGGAGGCTCTTCTGATGCATGTGGAACGCACACACCTCCCCACCTAACAGAAGACGTCCGAGTGTCCGGCAAAAGCAGACCAACTTGATCATGAATTTAAGAGCAGGTGGCAGCACAGTCAATTCAACAAAAGCCTGATACTACTTAACCTTCTATAGTAGGCAGTACAGTAGGGCAGTTTTGGTGATAATTTGATGGCTGCCGGGATAAGCCACCACAGCCTAAATAACGGAGTTCGGAAGCGATGCCCAAACCTGGTCAGAAACTGACCCTTGTTGCTGGCGGGGGTCTCTCCAGAAACTCGTTCGAAACTCCAGAAACGCTGCAATCGCTCACCTGAGCAGGAGAAGCCGTCGCCGTTGAAGCCCTCCTTGCAGGTGCAGCGGTAGGAGCCAGGCGTGTTCACGCAGTTAGCGTTGGAATTGCAGCTGTGTTCCTCCGTTGCACACTCGTCCAGGTCTGCAAAGCACCACAGGCAATGATGAGTTGAATCCGTGCACATCACATGCCACTGAAGACACTCCATTAAAGCATTAATAACAAAAAAACACACACAGGTTTTTTTCCAGATTGATTAGTGTTTTGAGACAGCATTAAGGAATGATACTTAAGAAGTAATCCATCACAATTACTTGTGAAACCTGATTTTAAGAGATATTACTTTACATAGTAACTATACACAAATTATATGCATTTCATGTTTACTTGAATTCATGCTAAAGCTGTATTTTTTCGAGGTGGGTAATTAGATCACGCCCATATTTGGTCATCTTCTAGCTTCTCTGACCTGACCTCTGACCTTCTCTGGACAACGTCTTGACACCCAGGAATCTGCTTGTCTCTGCTCCCTGTCTGGGTCTCACAGTCCTCCTTCACAGCTCAATTTCACCCTCTACCTCTAACAGAAACAGCTCAGGTAAGATGTGACCTCTGTGTAATGCGCCCCTGCGTTCATAAGGAATAAAGATCCCATTGTCGGGACCTACACAAGCTCAGACCCTGCTGCTGTCTTTTCCCCACACTTACCCACGCACTTGATTCCATCGCCCACCCAGCCATCTCGGCAGCGACATTTGAAGCTCCCCGGTACGTTGATGCAGGCCGCATGCATGTCACAGTTGTGTGCCCCGATCTCGCATTCATCAATGTCTGGAACCCCAAGAAAATTCAGTCAGAATACTGCATCAAGGGCCCAAATGCTCATTGCTCTTGAAAAGGGTCTGTCTCTGTTTGATCAGTCTCTATCATCAGTATAGAGGAGAAAGAGTGTCACTCTCACTGTATAATGGTAGTACATTAACACCATAAATAGCAGCTGGAAGTTTTGCTTTACCTGTGCAGCCTGTGGAACCCTTCTTCACAAAGTAACCCAGCTGACAGTGACAAATGAAGGAGCCCTTGGTGTTCTCACAGTCTCCATGGAGACAGATGTTGGGGTTCAGGTCGCACTCATTGACATCTGGACATATTTGTGAAGAATAACCAAACAAACAAAACAAATAAAAAACAGAGAGGTCAGCTTGGCCTCGCTTGAGCAGGAGTTGTGCATCGAAGTGTGATCTTTAGAAAACGTTGTGAAACAAGTGTTTAAGACTAAAAATGAGGGGAGGGGAGGAACAACAGGAAAGAGAAAAAGGAAAATCACTAAGAGAGGGGTCACACTGCCTTCTGATATCTGCTCTTACATTTGTGAACATTTGACCACGGGAAGTAGCTTTCTTTTATTATTCAGATTTTCAATAATACCATGCTCTTTGTGCAGTATGGAATTATTAACATGGTATCATCATGATATTACTGACATGGCAATATCATGATATTACGAACATGGTATTATTATGGCATAATCATTGTATTACTGAAATGGTATTAACATGGTATCATTGACAAGGTATTATCATGGCATTATTGACTTGGTATTATCATAGTATTACTGAAATGGTATTAACATGTTATTACTAAAATTGTATTAACATGGAATTACTGACTTGGTATTAATATAGTATTAACATGGTATTATCTATCTGTGTCTCACCGATACAGGTCCGCATGTCCATGGACGCCATGAAGCCATCGAAGCAGAGACAGCGATACTCGCCAGGGATGTTTGTACACTGTCCTCCGTCACAGATATCCGGAGTCTCCTCACACTCATCAATGTCTGCCGTCGAGGAAGAAAATCGGATTAAAA